CAGTGAAGACTGAGGTAAAGAACTCGTTAAGTACCTCAGCCTTCTCTATATCCTGGGTCACTAGGTCTCCCGCTTTCTTCCGGAGGGGGCCCACATTTTCCCTAGTCCTCTTTTTATCGCTGACATACCTATAGAAGTTCTTCCTGTTATCCTTAATGTCCTTGCCCATATTTAATTCTGTTTGGGCCTTAGCTTTCCTAACCTGATCTCTGGCTTCATGGACAGTGTCTCTGTATTCCCCCCAGGCTACTTGTCCTTGCTTCCACCCTCTGTATGCTTCCTTTTTTTGTTTGATTTTGCTCAGGAGTTCCTCGTTCATCCATGCAGGCCTCCTGGCATTTTTCCCTGCCTTCCTCTTTGTTGGGATGCATCGCCCCTGAGCCTGGAGGAAGTGATCCTTGAATATTAGCCAGCTTTCTTGGGCCCCTCTTCCCTCCAGGGCTTCATCCCATGGGACTCTTCCAAGCAGGTCCCTGAAGAGGCCAAAGTCCACTCTCCTAAAGTCCAGGGTAGTGAGTTCACTGTGCGCCCTCCTCACTGCCTCACTGCCCTGAGGATCTTGAACTTCACCATCTCACGTTGGTCGTCGACCAACACTTTTCTTTGCAACAGCTTCCAGGGCTGGTTGGCCAGGGAGACCTATTCTGCTGGGGGAACATCCCTGAACACCTGATGCCAGAGGGAGCAGAGGTGCCAAGGATTACTTCTCTTTGTCTGCTAAGGCCTTGTGCTCCTTCAGTGCCCCTTTAACACCCCAGTCACCATTCAGCCTCCCAGGCTCTCTGACAAGCTTCCTGCTATGGATGTGTCTGAAACATTTACTGTTTTTTTTTTTTTTTCTGTCCTTTATGAACTGCTTCTCAAAAAAAATTTCTTTGGCCAGTCTTATGGTTTAAATTTTCTTGTCAGCAGTTATTATGATCTAAATTTTCTTGCCAGAGGTTATTCTGTCGTCTTTGCTTCAGCACAGTTTGGAAGGACTTTTATGGTGGAATTACACTGGGGTAAAACCAAGAGAAGAAGGGAACAAAGCCCAGTAGGAATGTCCCAGGGACTGCAATACACAAGTGAATGGGTCACCTTGTGCTCTCAGCACAGACAGAAAAATCTGCCATGTGTGGGAATAATTCACCAGAATACCCAGCACAGAGAGGCATCTCATCCTCCCAAGCACAAATAGCATCTGCAGTGACTCAAGGGGGGCAAGGGCAAGGTTTTACCACCATAAATAAAAGTATAAGTTGACCTACTGTGCCCCCGTACTTGCATTCAAAACATGGTGGCTGATGGCACTGACTCCAGCCACCAACCAAACATGCCATGGTGACCTTTGTCATGATGCCACCATGTGTGATGGTGCTGGAATGTGTCCTCAAAGAGCGTTTCTCTCTTCCTTTCAGGGCCACCTTGAGGAAACTGCGCCCAGAGGACATGTTTGAGACATGGGTAAGTACGAGCGGGCGGGAAGCCTTGTGCCCCCTGGTAGCTTCTAACAAGAAATCGCTGCTTAAGGGCTCCAGCCTCCAGCTGGGCAAAACATTAACTTTCCTTCCTTGCAAAGCACTTTCCCTCCTCTGTGAAGAAGGGAAAGCCTTGGCTATGATGCCCAGTGTCTGAGTTCAAAGGGTATGCTCAAATGCTTTGCACAACAGCCGTGGACAGCTGAGCTGGGTCCCATTTGCTCCACAGAAGGAACAGAAAAAGCTAACCAAGTGTGCCAGGCAGGTGTTGAGCCCCTGCAGCGGCAGTGATATAGCTATGGGGAGCATCCTTCCCAGTGTTGCTCTGTCTCACCTAATGGGCATCAGCAATGGTGGTGAGGTGATTTCAGTGGCCTGTCCGCTGGGTGAGCTACGGAGATTGTACCGAGCAGATGACTCATGGGAATTGTGCCACAGCAGTTATACAATTCAAAATGCAAGCGAGGACAGGCAGTTCAGTTAATTATATAGACTACGGAGCAAATTGTGCATTGATTGCACTTCTCACAGTGTGAGCAAGCTGCAAATAAGCGATTGTGAAGAACTAACCAGTGCTTTGGCACTGATCACACACAGAGTATTCTCCTGGTCTGCAAGGGGGGGAAAGAGGGGAAGGGTGAAAATGAAAGAAAAATAACGTATAACAAATTATCCCTTCACTGTGAATGAGTATGCTGTTAATAGCCAGCCAGGGACCTTAAAGTGCCAGCTGAATGGTGAAAAATAAAGCTGAACAGGTGCTTTACAGATGCTAAGGAAGATGCAGTCATTCCTCCGAAAAGCTCAGTGTGTTTACAACAGCATTCAGTTCCCTCCTTGCTTGGCTGTATAATACAAAATGCTCCAGGACTCTGAAGGACCAAAAACCTTGGGAGTCTTTAATACAACAAGATGAGAGGTAACACAACTGAATGAGAAGTTATGAGTTACTTAGGCATGGTAGCTTTTCATTTTGTTTTGAAATACATATTTTGTATAGAAGGTAGCCTCTTATATCCACTTAAGTCCCTTGAAGTTTCTTCATGGGGCTTCAGTGGGACCTAAATTTCACGTGCAGTGATTTTGTTTTCATACTGAACATATTCTAAAATAACCTCAGGAAAAGTGTGAATTGTCGGCTGTGGGATGTTCACTTTACCAGCAGCCTGGGAATACAGAGCTTGCCTCCACTATGAGCTGGGTACTCATACCTACAGGAAACAACGGGCTGGATTCTGGTCTCACTGCAAGTTCAGAACATCCTCAGTGCCTTCACTAGGGTTGCTCCAGTTACAATGCCTTTACTTGGAGGTCAATAGAGCTACACTATATAGCCATATATGTAATTATACATCACACATGTATATATTTTATTTTGCCGTTTGAAAATGCTTCTGGCAAATATGGGGAAAAGCAACAGTGTAGATTATGGCAGATGTAAGTGGTCTGAATCCCAAGTAAATCTGCCTAAAACGCCCTGGTGAAAACGTATTCCCTAAGGACACCAGCAAAGGCCCAGCATCCGCTATTGTTTTTAAAGATAATGTTTTCCACTTAATCTTTCAGGGTTTTTTCCTTTCAGTTTTTGATGGTGGCTTTGTCACCTCTGGGCTCAGAAGGGAAAAGAAATTAGCATTTAGATGGGAATTTTTTCTCGCATTAAAGCCAATTGAAATGGAAACAGGGACCAGCAGTGAGTGAGGAAGGCGAAGCCGATCCATGAGATAATTCAGAGATGACATTCATAGCAGGCAGATGATGAACTGGCCAGCAGATGCATTGGCCTTTGCCAATATCATTACCCATTACTTATGTGTCTCATAGAGAAAAGCAGTCCACCAGGCTGTCATTTCTGTCCTCCACTCACTGAAGCCCCAAAACGAGCCTCCCACTCAATTCCCCTCGCTGCTCACAGAGACCCTTCACCTCCTGAAAGGTGTTCAATTGAGCCACCTTGCCCCTCATCTTTTGGGGAAACCTCCTTTGCTGTCCCCAAAGGAGCATATTTGGGGTCTCAGCAAATACTTGTTTCTCCACAAACCATCCCCTGGAAGCTGCAAATTTATGAGGGTAGGTGGCCTCAGGCATGGAGGGTGAGCCCATATTCCCATGTTAGAGAGTCCTTGGCCTTCTCTGCAGGTAAGACTTTGCCCCACACTATCAGAAGCTCCCTTGCCTTTGCCATCATGGTGCCCACCTCATTTTTAGCTGAAAGGTTTCAGCAACGCTACCCAAACTACCTGCTTCAGCACCTAATGCCTCCAGGACTTGGCCTCACCTCAGCTCCCATTTCTGGTGTCGCAATAGGGCTCTAGTCAAGTCTCCCTTTGCAACTGTCCTGTTCGTTTGAAGGCATCCCACCACTTCCCACCTCCAGGAACCGCCCAGGCTCTGTCCTCCCTCCCTGGCCCATCACTAATAGTTCTGTTGTTTCCAGGAGGATGACATGGAGGGAATCCACATTGTGGCCTTTGCTGAAGAAGACGACCCAGGTAGGAGATTGTTTTCCTCCTTGCACAACTCTCCATCACTCAAGATGGTGTAGTTCCATGTGCTTGGTTTGCATTGTGGAGCCCCACGCCCTGGTCAGGACAGTGAGAGCCAGCTTGCCGGGATAGGGAACCAGCATGCTTCTGGGTGTTTTCGCTAGCAGCTGTGCTAGCTGGGATTCAGATTCAAATAAACAGATAGCCAACTGGGAAAAAAAAAGCCATCCCCTCCACCCCAGCACCAGGATTTGCTCCCTAACTCTTCATCCACCTTGCCGCGTGGCTCCACTAAAGTGCTGAGGGCTGGGTGTGTGATGTGCATGCGGGAAACCCACGGGCATCAGCTCCTGAAAAACCATGGCATCAGTGCTGCTCAGCGTCGTCAGCATGCTGAAAAGCTTCGGCCTCTCGGGGGTTCTGTTGCTCCCTTGCCACAAGAAAATAGTGACATTGTTCCACTCCATGGAAGGATTATGAGACTTAATTCATGTGTAACTAATTTCAATACCCGGGGAGGATGCTCGAAATTAAAAGCCTTATTATCAACAGAAAGAGCTGGGAGACAGCATTTTAATGAGAACTATAAACAACTCCTGTGTGCCTCAGGAGTGAGGGAGGCTGAAAACCCCACAAGCAAATAGTGCCTGCGTGTTTGCAGGAGAGGGCTGCAGTGGTTCATGTATCATTTCAGATGGTTTTGAGTTCCTGGAAATCCTGAAGCAGGTTGCCAGGGACAACACCGATAATCCCGACCTGAGCATTGTCTGGATTGACCCTGATGACTTTCCTCTGGTGAGTGGCAGGGGCTCCTTGCCTTTCGTGGTTTAATTCATGGATGGGGGTGGGTGTGGGGGGATTGCACGAGTACAGAAATTGTCCCAGGAAATATGGGACAGGGAAGGATGGGAAACTGGACCACAGGACACCCCTGAGAGCTGCTTGTTCATGTCTGCCTCCGATGAAGGTGGTGTCAGAGCTGGCACTTTCCTTCGCTGTGTGCGGCAGCCCAAGCTTGGGTTCAGCCCCCTCTCCTCTCCCGTGCACTCACCGATGCACGCTCCCCACACCACAGCCCAGGCGGCTGAATTAATGCAATGGGGTACTGCAAACATCCTTGTCTGAGCTTTGTTTCTCTCTCCTGCAGCTGATCACTTACTGGGAGAAGACCTTCAAGATTGACCTGTTCAGACCACAGATTGGGGTGGTGAACGTCACAGATGTGAGTAGCATGTGCCCAGAAAGTCCAGTGATCCCAAGATTAAGGTGCCAGAATGGACAGGATCTGAGGTCCACCAGAATCAGTGGGATTTCTGCTGTTAAATGGAAGTAGACCAGGCTTTTTCTCCAGGAAGAAGTGTAAAGACCACCATTCCAACATGCAGCTGGGTTCATAACACCTCTGACATGGAGCTTCAGGCCTTCAGTCTGAGCATGTTTCTGCTGCCGAGTCACACACAAACCACGTCTGCTGAGGACAGGACCAGCCTCTGTGGTCTGAGCTTCAGGGCTTTGCCTGGTTTTGTTTTCAAGGTCTCAAATTTGCACCACAACATGCACCATTGTGCCCTGCTCTGACTGAACCTGGGTGGGCTTGTGGGGGAAAAGTGTGTGTGTAGGGGGGAAAGCAAGCCATGCTTAGGGGAGGAGATGAGAAGAAAAAGGAGGGTGTTTTTGCAGCAGAATGGCCCAGCTTGAGTGTAGGAGGGAAAGATAGTCCCCAGCAGATGACAGGGAGAAATCGCACAGCTTGGAAAAAAAACCAACAAATAAATATACAGCCTTAATAAGAGTACGACATAAACTTGTAATGGAGGGATCCATGCACGTAACATGGTGTGCTCCAGCCTGGCTCGCTTGTTACCTCAGGTTTTTTTTTGATGGTTAAGTGCTAGGTGTTTTAATATCTTTCAAATGAACCTGTGTGGGTATGTAAGTGTCTCTGGAAGCAGAAATCTCTCCACTGCAGAAGTGTTTGTAATCTGGTGTTTGACTTTGCGTTTGAAATTTCATCTGTATGGGAACCTGATGATTTATAAGAAGAGAGCAGAGAGGGACTTAGAGTTGGGACAACTGTTTGGGGCTGGGTGCTGGTCCTGGCTCCAACATTGACCTTGCTCCCAGCCCCCACATCCTCTCTCCCGTACCTCCCCCAAAAAAGAGGGACAGTGAGGGAGTACTAGATGATTGTGCCTCCTGTTATAACAAATGCTGCAAGACCATAAGACAGCAGATGTGGTAGGGAAGGCAAAGTGATTGTGTTATGAGGAAAGTGGAGACCCTGGATCTTGCCTGTCTCATTGAGGGGAATGAGAGGGAAGTGCACAGGCTGGCTTGGCAGTTGTGGAGTAGGTGCGGTGCTGGCTGGATGTGGGCGCTGCTTTATGTGTAATAGAGCAGCATCTGCCAGGCTGTGGGACAGACACCTAGAGAGGGGGACCCAGTGGGTTAAGACTTGTTAGCAGAATTGTTAAGAGGGAGACAAAAGGGAAGAGGACCAAGATAGCATCTGTCACCCTAAGACCATAAGAGAAATGAACGGACAAGCCAGAAATAGAGCCCAGGTGTTCCAGTCTTTTGCCCTTATTATTGGTCCGCAGTATCTTCCTTCATTATATTTACTGCTGTTGACCGTGTTTAAGTCATGTCAAAGCTACATTAAACAGCTATCAATGGAAATTCATGGAAGCAGGATTGTCAGTGGCAAGAGAATCATATATAAACTGTACTAGGAAGGAATATGTGCCTTATTATCCAGCAGTCACTCAGAGACCTGTAAAAACTTCTGCATTATCTAGCTTTGATATAGTAAATGTTTCAGGTTTTTGATTATAGTATTTGCAGTTTTCATTTCATTCCTCTTAAGTCTGTTTTCTATTCCTCAAGAGAGAGATTTAAGAAAGTTCTAGGTTGGCGGGTGATATCTAAAACAAACACTGAGCTCATTTCATTATTTCAGTGTTACATCACAGCATTCAGCCAAGTTACACAGGTACCAAGTGGGGCTTATACAACAGAGTAAAAATAAACACTGCTGTTGGCTTCAGTGGACATAACCTCTGTGACCCCATCACTTCTCTAAAAACCTGCCAATATAAACAGCAGAGTTCCCAGCGGCCCCCACTGGCCTGTCACATTGTAGTGGCTCACGGCGAGGGTCATGATGCGCTGCAAAATATCGCTGCTTCATTTGCACAGCATCTTCTTTAGGTGCCATGGGCCCACTCCTGTTCCCCTTATTTAAAGGTGTCACTTTTTGCCCTACAACCAGTCCTGAGGCTTGGGGCAAGATCATTTCCATGAAGCAAAACCTGCATGTCTTTCCGTGGCTCTTTTTTATTAGTTTTGGTGGTTTAGGAAGTAAACATTGTATGGGGGAAACAGCTTTCCTTGAGCAGAAATTGGTCTAGCTTTTTAGTAAGCCATACAACAAAGAGAACCAGGTACCACAGACAGGCAAAGAAGTTGAGTGCATTTGCAAAACCTGGTAGTTATCTTCTAACACATGCAAAGCACTTGCTTCTGCAACATCAAATGCTGAACAAGACAACCTCACAGCACCTCTGCAAAATAGGTAGCTGATCCTATTTTATGGAGGGGAGACAGTGGAGGGGAAGGGGCTTACCCAGACATTTACCCAAGGAACCTACAGCAAATGGAGAGAAAACCTTTAATTTCCAGGTCTCAGAGGCAGTCGAAGCTATGATTCCTATCCCGGGGTAACAGCCACAATTTAGACAGTATCTTCTCACTGCATTTTAGACAGCATCTTCTTACCGAATCCCCCCATCCCCTCCAGTTTATGGAAATAATGCAAGCACCTGGAGAGAAAGAGCAGGGGCACCTGCAGTCCTGTGTTTTTCACCATTCTTCAGCTGGAGCATGGTTGAGATGATCTGAGGAGAGTCTCTTCCAAGAGGGGCAACTGGTATCACATGTGGAGAGTCCAGAACAACATCCTGAGGCAAAAGTGATGGTAAAAGGCTGAGGAGAAAGGGTGCTGACAGCAGGGTGTAAAAGGCTCAAAAGGAGAGGTCCCAGAAGAGCTCTGGAAGGAAGGAGGGAAACTGCTGTGATTTCCTGTGAACTGAGGCAATGCAGGAGGTCTCTCTATGTTCTCTTTATGTAGACTTGAAGTCTACAGAACTGGCCAGACAGGGTGAGAACAATGCGTCAGGAGGACGATTTCTCACAGGTGTAGGCAGTGCAGGAGAGGAGCAGGCAGTGGGCACACATCTAACCCAGGGCAAACAGTACCACACACTCACATAAACCCATTGACCAGTCCCACTGCCCCTAGTCAATACAGCAGCACTTCAGGGGAAAATCGTAATCCCAACATGTGGGCAGAGGGACACTGTGGCAGAGCCTGTCCACAGGCTGTGGCAGAGGGAGCTAATGCCACAATCCCCCACACACGTACATCCTACTTGTGGTCCAACCCTTACCCTCACAATAGCAGCAAACCTGATTTCTTTGCTGTGTCTCTGAGGGTGGCTAATCCCCCCTCACCTGTCCCCACAGGCTGACAGCATCTGGATGGACATCAGAGATGATGATGACCTGCCCACGGCAGAGGAGCTGGAGGACTGGATAGAGGACGTGCTTTCTGGGAAGATAAATACTGAAGATGATGACGACGATGATGACGATGACGATGATGATGACGACGATGATGATGATGATGACGATGATGATGATGATGATGATGACGATGATGATGATGATGATGACTAACTATGACTCTGTGCCATTTGACTTGTGGGGGCTGAGAGGCCTCCCCCCGCGGCAGGTCCCTCCATCGGAAGGCCTGTGTTTGAGCGTCAGCAAGCACCGCTGCTCCTCTTTCCCCCCTGCTCCGCTCCCCCTGCCCCTGTCCTTGCCGGGACCCCCTGGCCTGATTCTCAGTGGTGCTGAGCCACTAGGACTGCCCCTGCTGTGGGCAGCACCTGCAGGCACCCAGCACCGCTGCAAATCATGCCTCCTTAGTAAGGACAATAGGAATCTGCAGGGAATCTGCCCCGAGTGTCCCAGGGCAGAAGGAAAGTGCCTGCCTGCTCGCTGCCAGAGGGACACAGGGAGCCAATTTGTGTTTTCCGTGCTCATCGGCCCAGCACTTAACATCTAAAGACCAAATCTCACGTCAAGAAATAGGGAAGGCCACTGTAAAGTTTAGTCCTTTAATTAAACACAATGCCCTTTGCAGCTACTCTGACAAGACCACTCAATCCCACAAGTTCTGCTGCAGGAGTCTGTAGCTCCTCAATAACATGCAAGGAGCAGCAAAAAGCTCAGGGAGGGGAGGAAGGTTTTAGGGGTGTTATTTACGTTTTCAGTGATTCCATATAATGACAAGATATTCTTGTCTGTCAACGCAATGCAAAACCGAACACCACGGTCCCTGTCTGAACCTCTTTCTTCCTGAAAGCTCAGGCCAAAGATAGGGTAAGTGTAGGTGGTCTGATATGAGACTTCAAAGCCTGTGAGTTCCTGAACTGCTGGAAAGGCTGATCCAGGTCTGAGCCCAAACTCTTGAGGCTGAAGATCATGGCACTGAGCCAAACTGTTGGTCTTAACCCCAAAGAAGCAGGAGAGCAGACTCCAGGCCAGTTCCAAACATCTGCAGCCAAGTCTGAGATGGGCCTACCTTCCCTTTCAGGTGAACCTCAGCTGGATTGAAGGTGGCGCACATGAGATAGACAGCATACTCCTGCCAGTGGAAACATTCACAGGGCCCCGCCCCAAAGCCCTCCTATTCCCCATGACCTTCCAGCTTTAGCTGAGTTTTAACCCAAAACTTACACAGCATCTTTTCCTATGACCAAGATGTTGGGAGGGAACACATCCATCCAACTGTATTAGATCCTGGATAATGTGTGTTGGGCAATGAGCAGTGAAAGGATTCAAGCTGTTTGGCTTTTAAGTATTCAGTTGTACAGTTAATCCCTGCTTAGAGACTCGGATGTCCCATGGTAGCCCACAAGAAGCTTCTTTTGACTGCAGACTGAGAAGGAGCTCAGGGTGCCAGTCTGCAGTCAAGGAGGTCCCTCACAAAGCAAAGGGTCAGCAACTCAGTCCTGGCAAGGGCAGCAGCATCCATGTGCAGGTCACTGCGACAGTGTTAGGTCTCCCTGCTTTCCCATGCTGGCAGATTTCAATTGTCTTAGCTTGTTAGGTTTGACAATAGTGCAATGAATGGAAAGTTTGGAGATGATAGTTTTATCTTTATAAATACATTTATAAATATGTTCTCCAGTCATTAAGACTTGTTAGCATAGGTAGGGTACACACACCCTCTCTTGCTACAGATGAAAAACATTGTTCTGACCTTTCTTATACTGGCTTACATCAGAGGTAAGTGATGTTAGGGGAAATAACAGTGCAAGGGACAGGAGAATTAGAGCTTGTTATACAAATGCGTATCACCCTGATGAGAAACAAGGTTTACACACTATATATTTCCTTTATCAGATGAACTGCAAAGCAAGGTTTTATAGATATTTTTTTTTTCCTGCCTGTTGATCAGTCTCTTTGGCTGTCTTTCTACGTTATCTGAAATAGAAATTTAAAACTACTGGTATAAAAAAGCTGAAGTACTGATATATTCCTATGTGTGCCATATCCCCTTTGTGGAAAGTGCCAGCATGAACACCATGCAGCTGGATATCTAGATATCTCTACGGATATGAATTAATACTGTGCTTACATGGTATATGACCGTAGGCCACCTTAGCTCCTCATTTGAATATCAAACACTCAACCGGAGCTGTTGGCACAGCCTGTTAGAAGAATAGAGAGGACAGCAAAGCCCCCAGGTCAACTATTTGCCCTTTCTTGCTTCTTTATGATGCATAAACACTGCCTGGGAGACTTGAACCAAGTGTGTTTGGGGAGACCATCCACCTGCTCGCACGGGGGTTATGAACAGCCCAGCCGCATCCCAGAGGACCTGGCAGAGATTTTCAAAAGCCTTGAAACGCAGGGTGCTCTCAGCCTGGAAGTCCCCTCCTGTCTTTCACACAGCCCCCAGCTCTCTCTTGGCCAGAGGGGTGCCCAGCACCCTCCTGCTCTCTCCTTTCAACCGTTTCCTCGAGAGGTTTGCTGGAGGTTGTCAACCTAGAGAGAGAGGGAGCAAGGGGGACTCCAGATCTCACTGATGCGCATTGGTAAGGAGCAAGAACAGGCAAAACTAGGTATTTAGTAGTCTCCTAGTCTGTGATTAAGGGAAAAGTACTTGTTTATCTTTACCTTGAGGCTCTACCCAGGAGTAAAACACACAGTTTCACCCTGCACACGGCAACAGCCTGCACAGGCCCTGCAGCTCCACATCAGTCCCTGCAAAGTGTGCTGAATTTCTATAAGCATGAAGAACAGACGAAGAGTTGCCCTGCTACCTTTCGTAACTGGCACTGTCTCCAGACATCCCGACTGCCTGGGTACTTTCTGTGTACCTCCCCTCCCACTGTGGATGCCTGTCTATTCTGATGTGCCCCACTCTAGATGCTCCAAGAGGCACAGCTTACACAGGCAGCGAATAAAGACCCTGCAAATGGCACTACGGACGTGTTCAAAGCACAAGGGTTTCACAGGCGCGTACACATTTCAATGCATCAAGCAGCAGAGCTCAGGGGGAAAAAAAATAATTAATGCAGTGGTAATTAGGCTCATACAGAGGCCACCGAGGCTGAGCTGATACTGGGGCTGGTGGGCTGGTGTGAGCAGTTTATGGAAAGCTTCTCTTGAGTTACGAGAGAAAGGGCTGATCCTACAGCTTCCACTCCTTCACAGTGCCAATGCAGTCCTTGATGGGGCCACCCTTTCTCTCTTCCTTCATCACCCCATTACAGTTTTCATCATTCTCTTTATCCATGAATGGGAACTTTTTATTGTCAGCTTTTGGGATAAACACATAAAAAGTTAAGAACACATTGCAGCAGAGGAAGGATTGCAGCAATGAAGATGAGCAGGCAGCAAAGCTTCTCCCATTCAACTGTAATACCTTGTCCACCCCAAGTTCACAGTGACCGAACCACTGAACAACGCAATACCCGTTGTGAAGGAGATGGGAGCTTGAACTTGAGTGTCTTCCTTGCAGGGACAGGTAAGATAGTGGTACAGGGAGGTATCACATGCAAGACCCCAGGCACAGGCACTCCTGGGCTCCTCTGTCAGAAGTAGGCACAATTGGCATTTGAAAGGCACTGGTGGCCCTTAGGAGCAAAGTCAGCCTAATCCCATCCACTATACATTGAAAACAGTACGTTTGGATGAGGAGCGAACAAAAAAAGGCCTTTGTTTAAAGAAAAATATATTGTGTATGTGGGCAGCACTGAGTGTTTCTGCAGGCAAGTCCGTTAAGACTGTCCCTCTCTTAGCAAATAGTTCTTTTTCTCCAAAGTGTTACTTATTTAGACATTTATATTTAATGTATCTTAATACACATAAAGACAAGGAATTGTATTTTGCCCTCATCCAACCGTGAGTGCTTCAAGCTGTTCATTTACTTCAACGTACCCAAAAACCTACTCTTACCAGCCCCTAATGACAGCAAGGACACCCCTCACATGTGATACGTGGCAAGAACATGAAGTCATACACCACCTCCTCCCAGTCCCCAGCCACAGGGCAGGGGTCACAGAAAAGGGGGTTGTTGGCGGTGCTGTATCACAGGCCAGCCTGTGCTGCTCATGGGCAATGATCAAGGGAGAGGGAAACCCATCAACAGCCGCATACTGCAGCTATCATACAGAAGGACGAAGGAGAAAGCTTCAGCCTTTGCAGATGACCCAAGGATGCTGATGGAGAGGCTCTGTGAACTCGAAACTGCTCTGAGCTAATGCCAACCTTTTGGGAAACAGCTCCAGAAGGAAAGGACAAGGGAGACACTCTGGAAATCACAGGTTACTCTGTATTTTCAGGGTCAGAGGGTTTTGTGATGTTTCTGAGGAGTGGTGATAGTCTCCTGTGCTGCTCTTGGGAGAGGAATTGCCTCCCCGTGAAACCAGAGATCTCAGCTGCTTCCCATCCCAGAATGAAGCTGCTCAGCCAGATGCCAACATCGCACACAGCCAAGGACACCGGCTGCTTCTCCTTGTCTGTCTGCACATCATACCTCAGAAATGATTGATTCATTATGGAGACCAAACAAAAAACATTGCCTTTTATTCCCAAGGAAATAATTAATTAGACAGGAACATACCACTTCCCAGCTGCTGCTGACTTGCAGTCCTGTGAAAACCGGCCAGGATTGCATCAGGATGTCCCTCTGCCCCAGCAAAGCTTTGGCTTCAGGCAAGCCCCACACACAGCCAGTTGCGTGCTGATGTCTGGACTTGGGGGGCTGATGAGAGAGAATGGCTAAAGAGCCAACAAGCTCCAAGGCCCTCCAGGACCAAGCAAACTGCTGCCTGGCACAGCACCTGGCTACTGATACACCCCGGGTATGTCTATGCCGCGCAGTGCAATGCCATCCGCTAGAAACTAGAACCAGCAGAGCACAGCAGGAGGGGTAATCAACCTCAGTAACGAGGCTGTGCCAGCAGGACAGTGTCCTACCCAAGACTCCGCAGCACCCCACTCTGCTGCAGCATCCCCGCCTTTGCCCTGGTCCCTTGTACCACTGAGGTCTGCACAAAGCAGCTGTCCAACGGTCAGTACCCCATGGGGCCAGACGTGGGGGTGACTCTCACACCTCTTTGGCAGAAGAAGGTGTCTAATGGCACCAATGTCTTGGCCCTGCTCCCAGAATGCTCCCTGACAGGTTTAAAAGGTGCTAAAATGTCTAATGGCAACATGGACCATGGGGCAGGGTCCAGATCAGAGTCAACACTCTTGGCCCTGCTCCCAGAACGCTCCCTGACAGGTTTAAAAGGTGCTAAACTATCTACAGGAGAAGGGAAAAAAAAAAAAAAAAAAAAAAAGCTACAGCACTTCCTTGCATCTTGAAGATCCAAGTCAGATTACAAGCAGTCTTTAGGATGGAAGCAAATATCCTTCCGGTGCCTCGCTCCCCCCTTGCGCCTCCTCTTGCAGAGCCTCTGTGGTGAAGGGCATTCAGCAAAGCACTCAAAGGACTTCTGGTATTGCCCCTAATGCTACGGACAACGAGAAGAAAATACAGCTTTTTCACCTTCTTTTCATCCCTCTTGACTCTCCTGGTCTTCACTGGCTCCCCTAATATTTTTGCTCCCTCCATTTCTATCTAGCCTGTCTTCCTCTTCTCCTCAATCCACCCCCACAACGTATGGTGTCCAGGGTCACTTAAGCCCTCCGCTGCCCTTGCTGCTTGAGCTCACCCCCAGCCCAGGAAGACAGCAGCCTCCTTCATGGCACCCCATGCCCTGAGCTGTGGCTGTGAACCCAGGGAGGGACAACATTTCCTTCCTGAGGAAAAAGCTGACCAGACAAGGTGGAGACTAGATTTCTTT